GAGCAGGGAGCCCGATGCGGGGCTCGATCCCAGGACCCCGGGACCATGACCTGAGCCGAAGGCAGATGCTTAACGACTGAGCCACCCAGGCGCCCCTCATCATTGTAATTTCTAAGAGGGACCTAGAGGGGAGGACTGTGGGCTCCAGCCACAGTCCTCCCCACCCCTGTCATGTGGCAGCACACGTTTCCCCTCGAGAATATTCCCCAGCCAGTAGAATAATCCCCTGACTAGCTTGTTGGTTCAGTGTCCTGATGAGCCCCAAATAGCCAGGTGAGCCTCAGTGTGCAACCCAGCGGAGCCATGGCTGTGTTCCCTGGTGGAAACATTCCTCCTTGGAAAACCAAGACCTCCAAGCCAGCAGAGCCACTTTGAGTGGTGAGAGGAACCACTCCCACTCCTCTCCCTTGATTCCTTGGCCCCACGACTTCTGGTTACAGCAGAGTAGATTCACGCCTAGCATATACCGAAGCCTTTAAGGTAGAACTCGGCCCTTGCAGGATACTGTCTCCCCGCAGCATCACGGCTGAGTCTTCCAGAGGCCATTTCACTCTATCCAGCTGCTTCTGCGTGGTGAGAGATGTGGCAAAACCTGTGAGGTACGTGATCACAAGTCCATGGCTTCACTTCATTTGCTGTGAAAGGAGTTTTTTTAACTACAAGTTCTATGTAGAATGCCATGCTGGTAAATAGGGCATTCCATCAGTCCACGGTTGGTTGTGCTGGGAAAAGCATTATGGACAGGGAGTGCAAGTCCACATCCAGAAGACACATCTACTCACACAGTTTGCCAGAGGGCAATGGGACTAGTCCAGCCCTTTTTCTCTTCTTTGAGCTCTGTCCCCTGGCAGAGACCTGGGTCGTCTGTGTTTTGGTGTTTCTCATCTTCCCTTGTTCCTGCCCCTGGGCCTTGGGTCTGCTTTCCCTTGGCTACAGTCCTATTTGGTGCCAGTTGAAAGTGTCAGCCCTGACACTTACCCAGGCCTAGTTCCACATGACCCTGACACTGAACTCCCCTCTAAGATCGTTCTGACTCAAGCTCAAATGTCCTGGACAAATAATCCATCTCCATCCCAACAGCTCATAAAAGTACAGCTCTCTGATGTGTCAGCTGCAAAAGAACAGAGCCCACAGCTGGTTTCTGCAGTGCTCAGAATGTTCGT